TCCACATCACTGTCCTAAATCTTCAATAAGCTTTTCAATAAAGTTAAATCATTAGGCAAATATTTATTAAACATGTACGTTTGGCATTGAGGATATGGCAGTGCACAAAATGGACATTAAATAATTATAATCATGTTTGAGACTGGCCCTTAGAGTATGTTACTAATCTGAGACTTGATGGAAGACTTAATAGGAATTAACCAGGCAAAGGGTGTATATGTGTGGATGGTGCTGCACGGAGGCAGGGAAGGAAAGCCAGAGAGACTGACTGGTGTCTAAGTTCAGGCAGAAGACTGCATGATAAGGCCCAGAAGGAAGAAAGAGCACAGAGACAAAGGATGAGGCCAGCCCCAGCTGAACATGTTACTTGTGTTCACAAGTATATTGTCACTACAATAGGAAAAGCGATCGAAGAATTGTTAGCAAGGGAAAGGCATGATCGCATCTGTATTTCAAAAATATTTTTTCTGGAATACACTCACAGGACAGGAGGGAGCAAGCCTAGAGACAGATGAGTTAGAAAGCTGTTAAAGAAGTCAGATGAGAAATGATGGTAGCGTGAACTCAGGTCTGAAAGCAGAGATCAAGAAAAGAAACCGAAAGTCCAAAAATATTTAACATTAACAGGATATTGGGCATTGGGGTGGGAGCAGGAAGGAAAAGAAGTGTGATGATGGACTAGGTTTCTGTCCTGAACAACTAGGTAAAGGGCAGAATGCAGCAGTAGGTGGCAGGGAAAGATTAGATGACGAATTCACTTTTAGACACAGTGAATCTGAGACACAGTATCTCAGAGATAATCTCAGCAGAGCCATGGTAAGCAGTTGAAAGTGTGTGACTGGAAGTCAGGGGAATGGCTGGGGTTGGGCATTCAGATTTGGGAATTAACACACAGAGGTGACATCAAGGAAACTAAATGGAGAAAGTATTTCAAAGAAAGGATAGTAAACAGGTGAAATGCTATAAAAAGCTCACGCAAATACAAGATTTGGATTTTGCTAGGCAAATACTTCGTACATCTTGGTGAGGGTAGTTCTGGTGTAGCTGTAGACTGATGAAAACTGGATTTAAATAGTCTACTATTTCACAGGGGAAAACTTAAGGTTTTTGGGGGGAGGGGAGTGGGAGGATGGAGTTTCGCTCTTGTTGCCCAGGCTGGAGTGCAGTGGCGCGATGTCGACTCACTGCAACCTCTGCCTCCCGGGTTCTAGTGATTCTCCTGCCTCAGCCTCCCAAGTAGCGGGATTACAAGTGCTTGCCATCATGCCCGGCTAATTTTTTTATTTTTAGTAGAGACGGGGGAGTCTCACCATGTTAGCCAGGCTGGTCTTGAACTCCTGACCTCAGGTGATCCACCCATCTCAGCCTCCCAAAGTGCTGGGATTACAGGCCTGAGCCACCACGCCCGGCCCTTAAGTTCTATCTACATACTCAACTCTTCAGAGTGTTCTCTTAAGACATTTTTTTCCTTTAGAGAAAGTGCCTTAAGTGAATCCTTATATAATGACTGCTATAAGATTTCTAACCCAACAATAAATACTTTAGATTGTTAAGAACTTTAAGAAGTAAACAAAACACTGACAGAGAAAAAGGGATCGTTAACAAGAAGTGAGTTCCATGATCACGACTATACTTTTGTATTTTTTTAATTGTGTCAAAGAGATCCTGCCATAGAAACCAAAATTAGTAGCAAACTAATGAATATTAGCCAAATTTATTTACCCATTCAGCAAATACTTAAGTGTCTGCTGTACGCGAGTTGCCCTGTAAGGTGTTATGAGAGATACACAAATACGTAAGACATTTTTGAGTCCTCAAAGAAAATACAGCAGGAGCAACTGTACGAAACACAAACACAAGACAGTTTGGGTAGTTAGTACAGATGAAAAGCAGAATTTCAGCAAAAGGAAGACAATCCCTGGCTGAAGTGATAAGAAAGAAAAGATGCTGTTTTAAAATAAATGGAAGGAAAATGGAAGAGAGGAGGTGGGCATTGTATATGAAGAGTGTGAGTGAGGGTAAAGCTGTTAATGAATGCCAGGTATGACAGAGGAATAGCACGATGTCTGCTTACATGCATCAGATTCATGCAAGGGACTGCTATGACATCAGCTAGGAAAAGCATTAACAGCATAAGTTATACAAACAGATGATGTAAAAAGAAAACTACCATATGATCTAGCAATCCCACTACTGGGTATATATCCAAAGGACATGAAATCAGTATTCACTCTTATGTTCAGTATACTGTTCACAATAACTAAGATATGGAACCAAGCTAAGTGTCCATCGACAGTGAATGGATAAAGAAAATGTGGTACATACACACAACAGAATACTATTCAGCTATAAAAAATAACAAAATCCTGTTATTAATGGCAAGATGGATAAGCCTGGAGGACATGTTAAATGAAATAAACCAGGCACAGAAAGACAACCACCATAAGATCTCACTGATAATGTGGAATCTAAATAAGTTGATTTCACAGAAATAAAGAGTACAATAGTGGTTACTAGAGGCTGGGACAAGGATGGGGAAAAGAAAATGGGGAGAGGTTGGTCAATGGGTAAAGAGTCATAGGAGGAAAAAATGTAGTGTTCCATCACATCCAAGGGTGACTATAGTTAGCAATAATATATTGTATATTTCAAACTAGCTGGAAGAGAGGATTTTGAATGTTTTCACCATTAAGAAATAATTAATGTTTGAGGTGACTGATATGCTAATTATCCTAATTTGATCATTACACATTGTACACATGTACCAAAATATCACACTGTACTCCATAAATACGTTCAACTATGTGTCAATTAAAAATGAAAAAAGCATTTGCTGTTATGCTAAAGAGTTTAAGACTCTATTCAGGGGCAACAGGGAGCCAGTGAAGATGTTTGTTTGAACAAAGAAGTGATATGACTTACGCTGTCATTCAGAAAGGCAGTAAAAAAGTCTTTAGCTTCATCCAGTCTAATCTCCCTTGTCTGGATTTCAGACTGCTCTATGACCTTTATCCAATCTCATTTTCTATTGTTCTTCAAGATAAAGCCTAATTGTGTCTCAAGGTTCCACAATCAGGATGTGGTTCTTCTTACTTCAATGCCCCTGGCTCTTAAAACAATCATGGTTTCTGCAATTCCCTCTCTTGCCTATCCACCTTAGTCAAAGTTCATCCTTTAATTCTACTTTCCCAATTCAGCTCTCTCTACCTACTCTAACCCTCCTTATAATGCTCTCCTTTGAACCACTATGGGGCTTAGACTCTGCCTTGCTGACTCTATAGTGTCCTGCCCTGTATTGTTCATTGCTACTGCATGTTGGTCTGATTCTAACCAAATAATAATTGCCTTAAAGGCAAATGCCATTTCTCAAATTTCTCCAGAGTGCCAAAAAAGGTATGAGACATCCAAGGTGGGATGAATAAATAATAATGTCTTTGTTTACCACCAAAATCACAACCCTAAGACTTCCAATGGCTGACCAAATTTAGTTATTAAATAAGGAGAGAAAATAATTTTGTCTGAAGTAGTTTCTCTATTAGAAGAATACAAGTCCTGGCCAGACACAAAAACTCCTGCTCAAAATAACCACAACCCAAGGAAAATATGAATCCCACATAAAATAAAAATGTACTACTTTAGGAAATTACTTGACTACTTCTTCTTATTTTTCTCTTCACTGCAAAAAGAATAGCTCTAGCATAGTCAACACAGTCAGACAAGCCCAAAAATGATTCAGCTTCCCATGGAAGACTTCCCTCATCCCTCCAGGCAAATATACACCATTGTACAGTCATGCTCTCCAAAAAATGCAGAGGTACAACTTGCTCTTTTTATCAATTGTCCAAAAAAACAAAGCAAAGGGGAAAAGAGAGAAGTCCTTTATGAAAAAGCCTATTTGCCAACACTACTGCCAGGTTAATTTTGGCATTCACTTATACTCAAAGCAATAAACTTGCTTCTATTCATTCAGAGACTATTATTTGGAGCTTGCATTTTGAGAATTTTACTTAACTAGAACAGATATTTTAATGTTCTGGAATTTTTATTTATTTTTTTTTTTTTTGAGACGGAGTCTCGCTCTGTCACCCAGGCTGGAGTGCAGTGGCCGGATCTCAGCTCACTGCAAGCTCCGCCTCCTGGGTTCACGCCATTCTCCTGCCTCAGCCTCCCGAGTAGCTGGGATTACAGGCGCCCGCCACCTCGCCCAGCTAGTTTTTTTGTATTTTGTAGTAGAGACGGGGTTTCACCGTGTTAGCCAGGATGGTCTCGATCTCCTGACCTCGTGATCCGCCCGTCTCGGCCTCCCAAAGTGCTGGGATTACAGGCTTGAGCCACCGCGCCCGGCCTGTTCTGGAAATTTTTAAGGAAGTACAATGTAACTTTGTTTATCTTAGATTACACTGTAAACATTTGCTTTGGAAGGGTTATCACAAAAATATGTTTAAAGAGTGGAGAATGCTCCTTTACTTAAATACATACTAGCAGAGATGTCTCATGCAGGAAGCATCAAAGGAAATGAAGGGACAAATGAGTAGCTTAATGACTCTATTAAGCTAGCATCGTGGTTAAAAGCATGAACTCTGGAGCAAGACTGCCTTAAACAACTCATAGAAACTTTCTGTTCCTCAGTTTCTCGCCTATTAAAAAAAAAGTTGGCCGGGCGCGGTGGCTCAAGCCTGTAATCCCAGCACTTTGGGAGGCGGAGACGGGCGGATCACGAGGTCAGGAGATCGAGACCATCCTGGCGAACACGGTGAAACCCCGTCTCTATTAAGAAATACAAAAAACTAGCCGGGCGAGGTGGCGGGCGCCTGTAGTCCCAGCTACTCCGGAGGCTGAGGCCGGAGAATGGCGTGAACCCGGGAGGCGGAGCTTGCAGAAAAAAAAAAAAAAAAAAATGCACTCCAGCCTGGGTGACAGAGCGAGACTCCGTCTCAAAAAAAAAAAAAAAAAAAGTTATGAACAATAAATGAATTAATGTATGTTACATTTTTGTCTTATTTTTTTAAAGGAGGTATTTAAGTCAGCCTACAAGGGTACATATAAAATAAAACCAAGTAACTATGGTAAATTTTTACTCAAGTCAGAATTGAAAGAACAAAACACTTTTGCTTTCAGTCAGACTGCCATATCCCCTCTGGATCTATTTTGTACCATGACACAGGAAAGCAGAAGGAAAAGCGAAGTTTTCTGATTCTCTGATAACTGGAGAAGGTAGGGAGCTACCTCAAAAACTAAGAATAAAGGAACTACTGAGTATCTGAAGCTGTTTTACAAAGAAAAAAAAAAAAAAAAAACAAGATAGAACTAGGAACACAGATCGAAGAGTTAAGGCTCAAAAAAAAAAAAAAAAAGAAAAAAAGAGAAAAGCCTCTTCATCTGAGGCAAAGGGAAAGAAGAAAAGATATTTATAGATTTTTCCTGGCCAATCCCCAAGTGCCTAATTTGGATTGAACTGAAAATGTCTCCGAAACAATCCCCACCCTGAAGGCTGAAATACCAGTGTGACCCACTGGGGTAAAGAGCATCCAGCTCTGAGAGGTGACCCTGGGAAAGAAGCCTAGCACCGTGACCACTTCTCTGGCCTTTTCTCTCACCTTTCCTTGCAAGATTCTTCTACTTCAGTCACACAAGTCAACTTACTGTTCTCAGATTATTTTACACCTGGCTGCCTCCATGTCCTTGACCCTGCCATGATGTTCTTCCCAGTCTAGGCAAAACCAGAAAAGTCTTTAAGATCTCTTCAACTGTAGTCACCCCCATGATGCCTCCACCAAACACCTCAGTCAAAAAACTGGCCTATCTTGCCTCTGATTCCATTAGAACTGTGTTAGCATTCATCCATCGATTATCACAGTTACGTAGGGATCTGCTGTACAAGTGTCGTGGACAAGACATCTCCTGTTTCTTTGGATTTCTTGGCATTCAACAAATGGTTTCTGTGTAAATAAATATGTATCTCTGAAAAGGATCTTTCAGGTAAAGAAACTCACGCTCAAGGGTAGATCAAACCTAGGTTGGGCGCTGTGGCTCATGCCTGTAATTCCAGCACTTTGGGAGGCTGAGGCGGGTGGATCACCCAAGGTCAGGTGTTCAAGGCTAGCCTGGCCAACATGGTGAAACCCCGTCTCTACCAAAAATATAAAAAGCAGCTGGGCATGGTGGTGGGTACTTGTAACCCCAGCTACTCAGGAGGCTGAGGCAGGAGAATTGTTTGAACCCTAGAGGCGGAGGTTGCAGTGAGCCAAGATCATGCCACTACACTCCAGCCTGGGTGACAGAGCAAGACTCCATCTCCCCCCGCCCCCCAAAAAAAAGAGTAGATCAAACCAGTGCAGAAAATCTAGATTCAGAAGTTCCTTTCTTTAAAAATGTAAAATAAACCATATATTTTTGACACAGAGATATGCACTAAGAAAAAGGGCATCTACTTGGCCCACTACAAACAAATGGTATTAGTAGTTAGACCTTATAAATACATGAGACCTATCAGAAATTTATCAGTAAATGAGAATATTCTGTCTACCCTTAATGCTGTTTTAAAAATTAAAGATTTTAATCTACTTTATTGAGGCATGATAGAAATACAAAAAATTACGTATATTTAAAGTACACAACTTGATAAGCTTGACGACTGCATGCTTTTTTAAAATATAAATGGAGGTTTGGGTGGGTCCCATAAAATTATCCATCCCTGAGATTTGTCTAACTAAATACATATTGATTTTTATATTATTTTATTTGTTCACAATTATTTATAAGCTTATATCAGAACCTTTCTAAAACAATTTTATTTTAAGTTCCAGGCTACATGTGTATGACTTTGAGGTCTGTTACATAGGTAAACATGTGCCATGTTTGTTTGCTGCACCTATCAATCCATCAACCCAGGTATTAAGCCCAGCATGCATCAGCTATTTATCCTGATGCTTTCCCACCTCCCACCACACCCCGCTACAGGCCCCAGTGTGTGTTGTTTTCCTCCCTGCGTCCATGTGTTCTCGTTGTTCAGCTCCCACTTATAAGTGAGAACATGCAGTGTTTGGTTTTCTGTTCCTGTGTTAGTTTACTGAGGATAATGGCTTCCAGTTTCATCTATGCCCCTGCAAAAGACTCTTTCTAAGAATGCAAATATCTCCTTCTGGAATTTATATGAATATTCTACAATTGTTCCCAGTGAAACTTTTAAATACACTCTCCACAAAATGGTAAATTATTTGAGACGAAGTTTCATGAAAGCATTTTAATAATTTCTCAAAAAATAAAGGGATATATCTGTGTGTTTAATGGTTCAGAAGCTTGCAAACCACTGACTGTCAGGAATAGTTTATCTAGGAAATCAGGTAATCCATGGGGATTAAGAGCATAAATTATTATCAGGGGCACCCATGAGCTCTTAGTGCAGCACTGAGCAGGAAACATGTAAGTTGTCCCTCCAACTAGCCATCTATAGATTATTAACATCTCTCTTCTGACTGCCCTATGAAGATGTTACAGTAAACATCAGTAGTACTCAAAAGAGCTTAGCATATGGTTTATTGTTAAGAAGAACTTCCTAATCTTTCTTTCATACAAGTAAGGTTTCCCTGGGTTTGAATTCTAATGGCTCTATGACTCTAACTCTCATTCTGAGGAAGCTTTTGAAGGCCAGGTGCAGCGGTTCACGCCTGTAATCCCAGTATTTTGGGAGGCCAAGGTGGGTGGATCACCTGAGGTCAGGAGTTCAAGACCAGCCTGACCAACATGGTGAAACCTCATCTCTACTAAAAATATAAAAATTAGCTGGGAGTGCCTGTAATCCTAGCTACTCAGGAGGCTTAGGCAGGAGAATTGCTTGAACCCAGGAGGCAGAGGTTACAATGAGCTGAGATTGCACCATTGTACTCCAGCCTGGGTGACAGAGCGAGGTTCCAACTTAAAAAAAAAAAAAAAAAGAGGAAGAAGAAGCTTTTGATCGGTTCTGTTTCATTACTGAGTCAATTATCCAAATTCTACATAGACAGAAAGATGAATCACCCCTCTTGGTTCAGTCCTAAATACTCATTTTAATGGGTTATCAAAGAGGACCTCCTATTCTTCACCTAATTTTTAGCTGCAACTCCTGCCACAGTGATTAAATCAGCTTTTCAACCTCAACTTACAAAACTTAAATCTTCAAATATATTTATTACGTAAATACGAAATAGTTATTTTTTTTTAAAGTGACCTCTTTAAGATTGTCAGTGCCCCGAAGGAGAGAAAGTAATAAATAAAGTAAATACTGTATCCCCTTTTGTAGAGTTCACTGAAGCAATACTTACAGGAAACTGTCAACTAACTAGAGATCAGCCTTGCTGAAGTTCTTCCTGTGTCCCTTTTTCTTTTGAGACAGTCAACATACATCAGACATTATAAATGCCTGCCATGTGTGAGACATGTGACAAGTCACTGTACATGAAAACATGGCTGAAGCAGAGTCACTGGCAGGAGGCAGTAGAGCTCCCAGTGCAGTATGTAGTGGTGCACATGAGATACATTTTAATTCCACTGGGTCTGTTCCAGTGTGGGGAAGGAGAAGAGTACAACAGGAGGCCTGAGAGTGTGAAGAGAGCACCACAGGTAACACTGCACATCAGGGAAGGGCTTTAAAGAAGGAAGAGTACCCATGTCAACTCCAAAGATGCATTTCAGGCACAGAACACATTTAGTGAATACAACAATAAATTTCAAATAATAAGGGGGTTTTGGTGAGGCTGGCAGTTGGACTGTGGGGTGAAACAGTATAGCTGATGGGACTGTACAAGTAATCTTCAGAGGCAGATTGTAAAGTCCATGTATGCCACATCATAAAGTTTAAAAACCAAGGAGCTATTTAATTTACTTTGAGCAAGAATCTGCAACATGGGCTAGACCAAGCAGTTCTCAAAGTGCGGTCTGCAAAACCTTGAGGAGACTTTTTCAGGGTGTCTGTGTGACCAAAACTATTTTCATAGTAATGGTAAGATATTATTTGCCTTTTTACTGTGTTGACATCTGCACTGATGGTGCCTTAGCACAAACCAAGGCATTGGTGCCAAAATGAATCAGGAGCCATCATAGTCTTCACTGCCATACTCTGAGTACACACCTTTTTAAAATTCTGTGGGAAAAAAAAGGAAGCAAACACAAAATACTTCTGCGTATGGAGATGTGATGCCTGTCTTGAAAAAAATCACTTGTACAGTTATTTTAAGTGGTGAGCTAAACTGCTTTTTTCAGGAAACAACATTTTACTTAAAAGAATGAGTGACAAATAATGGTTGTTCAGAACTTGGGGTATTTTCTTAGAAATGAACCGAGTGGACGTGCTTCTCAAGGGAAACAACTTACAGTATTTATAGCTGATGATAAAATTCAGATTTTAAATGAAAATGAGAATTCTGGAAAGCTTGTAGTTGTCACTGTGAGTTTGCCAATTAACCACTACTTAAAGACATGTCTGATGAAACTAGTAGTAATATCAACAAATTTGAGTTTCTGATATTGTAGAATGAAACATTCGACAATTGGAAGAGTTGTATTACTCAGTGAATCAAATATTTTCCAAATGACCAATGTAGGATTTTACAAAATTATGCATGAGTAAAAGATTCATTGAAAGTATGATAGGCTGGGCATGTTGGCTCACGCCTATAATCCCAGCACTTTGGGAGGCCGCGGCGGTTGGATCACGAGGTCAGGAGTTCAAGACCAGCCTGGCCAACATGGTGAAATCCTGTCTCTATTAAAAATACAAAAATTAGCCAGGTGTGGTGGTACACCCCTGTAATACCAGCTACTGGGGAGGCGGAAGCAGGAGAATCACCTGAACCCAGGAGGTGGAGGTGGCAGTGAGCGAAGATCGCACCACTGCACTCCAGTCTGGGTGACAGAGCAAGACTCTGTTTCAAAAAAAAAAAAGTATGAGATAGACCAGACCCGGCACAGTGGCTCATGTCGGTAATCACGGCACTTTGGGAGGCTGAGGCAGGAGGATCACCTGAGATCAGGAGTTTGAGACCTGCCTGGCCAACATGGAGAAATCCCATCTCTATTAAAAATACAAAAATTAGCTGGGTGTGGTGACGCACACCTGTAATCTCAGCTACTCAGGAGACTGAGACACAAGAATGCCTTGAACCTGGGCGGCAGAGGTTGCAGTGGGCCGAGATTGTGCCACTGCACTCCAGCCTAGGCGACAGAGTGAGACAGAGTACAAACAGTTCAATGATAGGATTTCAGATTCCACACTGAAAATAGCTTTTAAGAACCTACTATTTGTCAATTTTGATCTAATATCAAAGAATATCACATTTGAGAAAACTATTAAGGTAGTTCTCCCTTTTCTAAGCATATACCTGTATTTGCTGAATTTTCTTTATATACTTCAACCAAAACAATGTATTGCAATGCAATAGGCTTAATGCATAAAAGATATAAGAATCCAAATATTTTATTTTATTTTATTTTATTTTTTGAGGCGGAGTTTCACTCTTGTTGCCCAGGCTGGAGTGCAATGGCACAATCTCGGCTCACCGCAACCTCCGCCTCCCAGGTTCAAGCAATTCTCCTGCCTCAGCCTCCCTAGTAGCTGGGATTATAGGCATGTGCCACCAGGCCCAGCTAATTTTGTATTTTTAGTAGAGACGGGGTTTCTCCATGTTGGTCAGGCTGGTCTCGAACTCCCGACCTCAGGCGATCCACCCGCCTCAGCCTCCCAAAGTGCTGGGATTACAGGCGTGAGCCACTGCTCCCGGCTCAAATATTTTATATTAAGTCAGAAATTAAAACAATACCACTCCTCTAAATTTTTTGTAGAAAAAATATTCTTTATAAAAATATAATTTTAATAATGATTATTGTTGTAAATAAATATTTTTTAAATTTCTCAGTTTTAATTTCTAATACAGTATACATTTCTAGATATGACCTATATAAACAAAAGCTCTTCAGGGCTCTTAATTTTTAAAAATGTAAAGAGATCTTAAGAACAAAGAGTTTGAGAACCGATGGGTTATAAGGAATACAAGAATAGCTGGAAGGAAAAAAAAAAAAACACAAAAACAAAGAATTCCGGTGAGAGAAGATAACAGTA